TGGCGCGATGACCACTTTGAAGCGCTCGCGAGTGGACGCGCGCTCGCCGCACAGAGCCAGCCGCTGGAGCGCGAGCCAGATGAGGAGCAGATGGGAGAGAATCAGCGAGGGCATGCTGGCATCCCTCAATGCCAACACAGGGCATTCACGCTACCACCCACAGTATATCGCCGAAAAGCCTGAGCGGATCAGGCAGTCCCTCCTGGAGCCCCGTTTGGAAAAAGTACGCAAGCACGCGCTCTTTTCCCAGGCAGCGCTGGCAATGAAAGTCCTCGCGCAGAAAGTTGTCCTGATGCCTTCCTTTCCCGTTTCAAGTAGGAAACTTGAAAAATTACGTCCGGTTCGGTGGATAAAAAATACAGATTATCCGCATCGAGGCCGTTTGCGACATTTTTAAAAGGCTTTTTAAAATTCTTACATGTTTTAAAAGGCAACCTGGCAGTGGAATAAGGTGGAAAAACTCCTCATTCCTTAAGGCATAGTTCTCCGTCGCTGCGTGGATGGCGTGTGTACGCATCGCAGTTTGGGAAAGTTTAGGAGGAGGAGAGGCAAAGCGAGAGCCAATCCAAGGGCAGCCGAGCTGGCGCAGGGCCAGAGCAGTACAGGAGCGGGACTCACAGCGGTTTTGACGTCGGTGCTTTTCCTCGTCACCTTCCTTTCCCCTTATTTTGAACTCATCAAGCGCCCGGTGACGGTGCTGCGCGCGATTTTCCGCTGCAGACACGGTCAGTAAACACAAAAATGAAAGTGGAAATGCCAGCTAACAGTATGCGCAACACTAATTTCTAGTGTTTACTATTGAGCGGCGAAAGAGCGCAATTTACCACATGTGATTTCCGAATCTTGAAAGACGCCCCCAACAACAAAAATCTACCTCTGCTGAAAAGGCCTATGCTGGTTCACTTGGTCTTCCAGCTTGGTCGGACAAATCTGTTGAGTGGTTTTAGAGAGATTTTGTCAGTTTGGACAGGCTGGGAGACAAGCTAAACTGCCTTCAACCCAAGGCCATTACCATGGGACTGTTTTTAATTATAAAGCACAAAGAACTAGATCAGCGAAGAAAATTCTAGGTCTAATTCTAGCTAGGAAGTGATCCTTTTTAACTATTTGCAAATACTATTTTAAAATATGCATACATTCATATTTATTTGTATTCATTTATATTCTATATTATGAGTAATTATGCAGCAAAAATACCACTTAGTATTTTTCATAAAGGGGTCAAATTTAGCAATGGTTGTAAATATTTGTAAATAAAACAAAGATTATTGGAGTATACTTTACAAGAAAATGCTATTTCAGTTTCTCTACTTAAAAATGTCATGTTTGATTCGATGTGTTACTTTCTTAAAAATGATTTGTGTAATGTACTAGCATTTTCTGAGTGAAATTTGTTTCAAGGTAAATCCTACACAAACACACGTTTTCAGTGTGTTCTTGTTACCAGATGAGGAGAAAACATAAAACTAAAGCTGTTCTTAAATCGGACCCCCAAAAAAAGGAAACCCAAGAGAATGTGATTTTATAGAGGACATGCATAAACAAGAAGGGAGAGAGGGAAAATGGGCAAGAAAAAGTAGTGAGAGGATGATGGAGAGGCAACGTTAGAGAAAGTGAGCTGAGTCACTTCCTTTAAGAAAAGTGAGAATGTTTGCTTTCAGTCACTGAGGAAATGACTGCATGAGAGCTCCTCTCTCTCTTTCTCACACACACACACCAAGTTCACAGGCAGATCTTACATTTTTGGCTACACATAGGCATGCAGCTCTAAAACCCAAAACAGACATGCGCAGTTGCTCAAACACACATAGGAATTTTATGCTAAAATACACACATGCACACAGAGAGCAAAACATATAGAAAAAGCAAGTTGTTGCATGCCAGCCTCCATTTTTTTTAACACAGATATAATGCATTTCAAAAGCAACTTTCCTTATAAAGTCCTTATAAAATATTATACTGCCAGTATATTAATAATTTCACTGTCACTAACAGGGTTAAATGTTTAGTGCCTTTACAGAAAAAAAATTATTTGGTAAAAAAAATAATATGAATATACTAGATTCAAATTATAGTGCAATAATTAATGCAACAGGTGTCTTAAAACAGCAACAGGACACCAACACTTAAAAAAAAAAAGTTAAAAAAGGGGGGGGGTTCACAACATAGAAGAGTTCCTAAAAAACCTCCCAGTGAACAGTTCTTTAAAAAGAACCATGTGAACAACATTTTGAGAGTCTGAAGAAGCCTTTTCCACTATACAAACAACCTTTTGTGAAACGCAAATGTTCTTCATGGAACCATAGATATCAACAGAGAATCTTTATTTTCAAGCATGAAGGAGAACTCTCACAGCAAGACAACCTCAACACCACATACATGACTAGCTCTGTTAATGAAAAACAATGCTTGTCAGAATAAGCACTATAACAGTCTGATGACACAGAGCAGTGAGACGAGCATTCAGCCCAACAAACGTTACCCTCAATGTGACATTAAAACCTGCTTACCGCAGCATGGAGAGCAAGGACTGTGGTCTGGAGGCAGGGTGTGGGCTCAAAGAGCAGAGTGGTCCTGACTTACGTCATAGAGACTATAATCACGCCTGAGCGGACACATGAGTCACTTCAGAATCAAGAAGGGAGGAGAGCTCTGGCCAAACATCAACTAAATGTGGCTGACCGATGTCTCATCGTCTGGGGCAAAACAGCACAGTGGATTTTAACAACGGAAATCTCTGGGGGTTGAGGAGATTGACGGGGAACGGTAGAAAAACAAGCCTGACAACAGATATAAACAGATTCTGTGTAAGGTACAATTCTAAACATTTTTTATACTTAGATGATGTGTGACAAATTGAACTGGCTGGTGTAAAGCTGATGTTACTTACACATGCTGTGGAATTACAAAATTTTGGGGTCAGTAAGATTTTTTTTTTCTCGAAATAAAACACTTTTCTTCAGCAAGGACACATTAAATTAATCAAAAAGTGACCATTTATGTTACAAAAGATTTCTATTTCAAATAAATATAGTTCTTTTGGACATTATATTCATCAAAGATTCCTGAAAAAAAAAATCTACAAAGATATTAAGCAGAAAATATGTTGATCGATAATAAAAGAAAAAATAATGTTGAGCACCAAATCAGTATGTTAGAATGATTTCTAAAGGATTATGTGACACTGAAGAATGGAATAATGGCTGCTGAAATTTTAGTTCACAGGAAATTAAATTTTAAACTATATTAAAACAACATTTTAACATATATTAAATATAGAAAATTTTTATTTTAAATTGTAATAATATTTCACAATATTCCTGCTTTTACTGATCAAATAAATGCAGATTTGGTGAGCATAAGACATTTCTTTCTTTTACCAACCCCAAACATTTGAATTGTAGAGCACAAAAATTCAAATGACTATATATGACTACAAAAAAAAAAATAATCTAAACGTTAGTACAGGATAACTTACATTATTGATTCTTAAAGGAACCAATTAAGCCTTACTAATGCACTAATTATAACGGATGTTGTTCTCTTGGAAATTATAGATATTTCCATTTTTCCAACATAGATGTGTTCAAATTCAAAATTCAAGTAGTTAGTCTGTTGTTATCCTGTGAGTCAGGCTGTCTCACCCCAGCATAACCCAAGTCAACACACAGAAAAGAAAGACTATTCATAAAACTGTAAACAAAGACTATATATATGAATACAGTCAGAGGAAAATGTGTCTAATTTCATCCCAGTCATCACTCCCTCACAAATGGCCCTACCTATAACACTGTCCTGTTTATTTGACCAAGTTCATGAGCCCGGTTTACATACATACAGTATACACTAATGTACACCTGTTCAACTGCTCATTAGTACAAATATCCATCTAGCCAATCACATGGCAGCAACTCGATGCGTTTAGGCATGAAGACTTGGTCAAGACAATCTGCTGAAGTTCAAACCGAGCATCAGACTGAGGAAGAAAGGTGATTTAAGTGAATGTAACTTTGAATGTGGCATGGTTGTTCGTGCCAGACAGGCCGATCTGAGAATTTCAGAAACTGCTGATCTATTAGGATTTTCATGCACAACCATGTCTAGGATTTACAGAGAATGGTCCGAAAAGGAGAAACTCTAGTGAGCAGCAGTTCTTGTGGGTGAAAATGCCTTGTTGATGCCAGAGGTCAAAGGAGAATGGCCAGACTTTGAGCTGATAGAAAGACAACAGTTACTCAAATAACCACTTGTTACAATCGAGGTATGCAGGAGAGCATCTCTGAACACAAAACACATGAGATAGGCTACAGCAGCAGAAGACCACACCAGGTACCGCTCCTGTCAGCTAAGAGCAGGAAACTGAGGCTACAATTTAAACATGCTAACCAAATTTGGACAATAGAAGATTGGAAAAAGTTTGCCTGGTCTGATGAATCTTGATTTCTGCTGCATCATTTGGATAGGGTCAGAATTTGGCGTAAACAACATGAAAGCATGGATCCATCCTGCCTTGTATCAACGGTTCAGGCTTGAGGTGGTGGCATAATGGCACCACACTTTGGGCCCCTTAGCACTAACTGAGCATCGTTTAATCACCACAGCCTACATGAATGTTGTTGCTGACCACGTCTAGCTCTTTATGACCACAGTGTACCCATCTCGTGATGGCTACTTCCAGCAGGATAATGCGGCATGTCACAAAGCTCAGACTGGTTTCTTGAATGTGACAATGACAAAAAACGGTTTGTCTGAAAATTCAGATTCAATAATCGATACATTTGAAAAGTTTTATTTATTTTTTAATTTTCATAGTAATGTTGGTACATCATTCTGAATATGAGTGAACTTGATTGTTATAGATATTAGAGATGATGAGTGTGCCCTTCTTAATTAAAGAGTATAATGACAGAAAATACACACTGAAGGATATGCAAGTACAGATGTTATAGCAAAAGAAATCTCGGCAGATTTCTCTCTCTCCCTCTCTTTTTTTTTTTTTTAAGTAAATTGACCTGTATTTTATTTTACAGTGAAGTATAATTTTGGAGAATGAAAGATTACATTGATTATATTGAAACTAAACATTACAAACAACTATTTTGAATCTTCCCCTCCATTTGGCTGAAGTGTTGCTGTCCCTCAACTTGTATTACAGCATCACACTTAAAAGGTTGCAGACCAGCCCAAAATACTGGTCTAATACTAGCAAAAAAATATGGATCATTACATGGTATCAAACGTTCTGTTCTGCATATTTACTAAGGATGAGGCCAATGATTGTTTACACTGAAGATTTTTTGGAGTGCTAACTACAGTCATTTTTGTTGAACTTCTTGTCAACTACAGATGGACCACAACCTTCAATCTCCCTCTCTTTTTTTTTTAAGTAAATTGACCTGTATTTTATTTTACAGTGAAGTATAATTTTGGAGAATGAAAGATTACATTGATTATATTGAAACTAAACATTACAAACAACTATTTTGAATCTTCCCCTCCATTTGGCTGAAGTGTTGCTGTCCCTCAACTTGTATTACAGCATCACACTTAAAAGGTTGCAGACCAGCCCAAAATACTGGTCTAATACTAGCAAAAAAATATGGATCATTACATGGTATCAAACGTTCTGTTCTGCATATTTACTAAGGATGAGGCCAATGATTGTTTACACTGAAGATTTTTTGGAGTGCTAACTACAGTCATTTTTGTTGAACTTCTTGTCAACTACAGATGGACCACAACCTTCAAACATCTGCTACATCTCTAAATTCTACATCACATGTGGGCACAGAAACAAATGAAATGTTGTAACAAAGTGAACAGTTTAAACAGTTATTAAAACACTTGTCATGGATCTTTTTAAGATCCAGTTTCTGGCTTGAAATTTTTAACACTAATCGATTTCAATTCAATGTACAGAATATGTAAAGCAAATGTACAAAATGGCATGAAATATATATATATATATATAAAAAAGAAGAAAAAAAAAGTATTCACAAAGCCACACAGATTGACACCATGGCCACAACAGAAAAACTTGGAGAACCAACCAACCAACCAAAAAAAAAAAAAAAACTTGCCAGTAACCTCATATATCCAGTAGAGGGCAGCACTTTTAAGGTTTACTTGATTTCTGTGCTGGCTCATTATACCTCAACCTAAAGCAGAAGCCTTCATTCTTCAAAACAATCTGCATATTAATACATAGCTAAGTTGGATATGTAAATACATTTTTACAGATGAGTCAGCTGAACTCAGATGAATTAACCCTGGCAGTCACAATTCTCATTCTTTGGATCAGCACCCTGTGAGATAATCTTCACCTTGAACACAACACCCTCCAAACACTTAAATCTAATAATGCACTGAACAACATTAAACGACATAAAGGTGAAGAACCAAATTTAAAACAACACTACAGCTCTTGATGCACATCTGTGTGTGAGCCTGTGCAATATAACCAGAGTTAAGGCTTTAATGTGTTCATCGTAGCGCTTTCTCTAAAAGAGGGCACATTAAAATGATTATCACACCAATAACAACACCCATAACGTGTGAGTAACAGATCTTATGATACCCTGTCAGTCCCACTGGAGCGTCAACAGCCCCTACACTAAACACAGTACACACAGAAAACAAAAGCTAAAAGTCTACATGTCCTGGTCTATATGATGTGACATCTGAGATGTCATCGAATATAATATGTACTTGAAGTAAGTGGATATTTGAGTCATGATAAATTTACATAACCACATTGTTAAACAATGAGCTTGTTATAGATTTCAAAGTCAATCTCTCTCTACAAGAAAGTGTTGCCACAGACAATTTTTTTAAAGTCCAGGACAAGATGTAACCGCTGTTGTACAGTTATCGCCACATTTCGGTTTTGAGTTTAAAAAAAGGAAAAAGCTGTCCCTTAAAAAAAAAATGCTGGAATAGTTCACCCACAAATGAAATTCAACCTCAAGTTGTTCCATACCTGAATGAGTTTCATTCTTCTGTTGAACACAAAACAATGTTGGTAACCAAACAGTATTTTTTTCCCCCATACTATAGAAGTCAGTGGCTTCCGGCAACTGTTTGTTTCCCCAACATTCTTCAAAATATCTTCTTTTGTGTTTACCAGAAGAAAGAAACTCATACAGGTTTGGAACATTTTGAGGGTGAGTAAATGATCATTTTTGGATGAACTATGCCTTTAAGTCAGTTTTTTTTGTTTCACGAAAAGACCAAAATGTTTATTGTTTTCCTTAGCTGTAACTCTGTGACTAAACACAGTCCACCACAGGCTCGCCTTCATTCCCTTCCTCTTCCCCCCACATCCCGAACCTCATATCCTCATCATCCATGGATCCTCCATCTCCCTCTCCCAAACCAGCCATTCCCATTGCTTCATCCGCTCCAGGCTCACCCTGATGTGCACGGAGGTGTTTCCTCAGACTAGCTGGATCTTTAAAGCCTCTGTGGCAAAGTGGGCAGCAGCACGGCCGCTCTCCCGTGTGTATGCGCTGGTGATGTTTCAGATGCTGCAGACGGCTGAGCCTTTTCCCGCAGACGCTGCACACATATGGTTTTTCACCGGTGTGTGTGCGGCGGTGCTTCCGCAGGCCATCGAGATGACGAAACTGCGTTCCGCAATCGGAGCAGGAATATGGTTTCTCACCCGTGTGGATACGGAGGTGAGTCTTAAGAGCCCCAGACTCGCGGAAACGGCGGCCACAGACAGTGCACGGATACGGTTTCTCTCCCGTATGGATCCTCAGGTGCTTTTTCAGGCTAGAGATCAGACGGAAGGTCTTGCCGCACTCCAGACACAAGTGAGGACGTTCCCCAGGTGCCTCTCCCATCAGCTCAGAGATGGAGCGCCGTATGGGCTCTTCTGGCGATGAGCCGCCCACCCCTGGGCTTCTGCTGGTGATCATACCCAAACCAGGAGCATCCCTCTGGGCTGATCTAAGTCCGGAGGTTCCTTGTGATGGTGAACTACTGGAGGAGGGCCCATTGTGAGGCCTGGAGGGGGGCGGTGGTGTAGGTTTGGATTGGTGATGGTGTGAACGGGAACCTCCTTCTTCCTCGACCGCGTGGACGTATGCCAGATCACACACACTCTGCGCTGAGTGCTTGGCTTCTGTGGGCGCCTCTCTTCCCCGCACACACACCTGTCCAGAGGCAGGAACCTGCTCCTCTTTAACAGAGAAGCTAGTGTGTGAGGGAGGGTTTTGAGGTCTGGCGTGTGTGAGTCTTCTGCTGTCATCCACCATCTCACCTGTGACAAACATCACACATTTATACACAGGTAGGCCTATGAGAAAAGTCAACTTTGGCATGACAACTTCATAATTTGTAAAACTGTTTTGTCATTGTGCTTTATAAGGATATTAGATTCCTTGCATATAATGTGATATCTGTACTTTTCACAGACAAAACTATTATAATGTTAAACGCCAGACAGTTTCATTATAGGTCTTTACGGCTGTAAACTACCAATTATAAAACTGTTAAACAGAGCCTACCAAAAGCTGTTTTCTCTAAATTGTTCAGTTAAGAATAGTAGATGTTTTGTACATCAAATGTAGACATTCTTTCAATACATTAAAAGTAACAATAAAATGGATTATCAGTTCTTCAGACTGTCTCAAAACATTTATGTGAAGAACTGACAACCGCCTTTATTATTATTGTTACTTTTAAAATATTCATGCACTTTATGATTTTTATTTTTTTAGATTAATAATTAGGCTATTAATTATGTCACAAAGCAGTGAAATATTGGTATGGTTATCAGACACACAAGCATAAAAATAATCAGTATCAGTTGTAAAACATGAATAACTGTCGATCTCTAAACTAGGGAAACAAGAACGCCCCAATATTAAACATTTTCAGGTTATGGTTGATAGTATTCTTTTAATGTTGTCTATTTATTGATTATTTATAATATTTAATATTACAATATAAAATCAAATCATTTGAAATGCTACATTTTAGGCATTAAAAATACAGTCATTTTGCGATTTGCTAAAGAGTAAAGTTAACAATGTTAGTAAATTATTGAGAAATTATTATTAATATAAATTATATAAAATGTAAACGAGAGAGAGAGAGAAATGACTATGCACAATTAAATATCGACAGATAATTAAATTGGAAAATCTACAATTAGCAGATAGCCGATTTACTGCGAGTCCCTTTTCTAAAGCACTTGGTGTTGTTGCTGTCTAATGCCTACATGCTTCTGTGTTAGTAGCACATCAACAGTTCACATTACATGCAATAAACTGAGTGTTGTCTTACCAGGTCGGTTCATGTCTGAACAGATGTTAGAGGAATGGACGGATATAGGGTCATAAAAACTGTTTGTCACCGTCCCATCCGCCTGAATGGAGAGGTGGCAGCTCTTGAATTCCTCCCTGGAGTCAAAGCCGTGTATGGCATCACCGAGAGCGCCACTCAACTCGGGTTCGGCTCCAGTAAAGCAGCGCGGATCCGGCTCGGGCGCACTCCGATGTGGCAAGCGACTCGAGTTCACGGGTCCAGCGGTGGCGTAGACGTGAGGTCCCGGCATGGATGGGTTCCCAAAGGGACCCTGAAGCTGGTCGATTAATTTCTGCGCGCTACACAGGCACTCCTGTAACGTCTTGAGCTCTCTCTCTGAGACTTCGAGTCGAACCTTCAGCTTCTCGTTCTCTTGCTCTTTGGTCAGCAGCTCCCGCTGGGTCTCGGACAGCACTGCCACGATCTCGCCCAGAAGGGTGTCCACCGCCGCGGACAGAGTGGACCGGATGGTCGGTCCGAGGCGCGTTCTGAGTGTGGAGATGGACAGGTTTTTGTCCCGGACTGTGTTTTGCATGCACTCATCCTTCTCTGCCTTATGGGATGAGTTGATTATAGTTTGTTTACGGTGAGAAGCGCTCGCTGATGAGCTGTTTGTTGCTGTTGGTACCGACACTGGGTTGATTCTGCCCGCCCCGTTTTCACCGTTGTTGCGCTTTGAGTTCATAGCGAATTCTTCTGCTGTACACACAAACGAAGAGGGAACCTATTTAAGTAGTTATTGCTGTGATATATTGATGTTATATAAAACGGAAACGGTCATCTTTTGGAGTCTCGTTGCGACAGTAACGTTATTTCCTAATCACTCGGAAATGAAAAGCTAGATACGAGCCAGATGAGCTACTGTAGCATTGCCATTAGCAAACTAGCCAACGCATTCAATCTTGAAAATGGAGCTTTTCGCTGCCTTGGTTTTGGTGAAATCTCGATAAATATCCGCACTGAATGATCAAGGCAATACTGTCGTTAACCTGCATTTAATGTAGTAATCGCTATTTCGCTACGCGCCAGAGCCCGGCCCGAGCCTTCATTCCACAGTACAAACGCTGGGGTCAATCCTGACTTTTGATTGGTCAAAGATGTGGTCGCGGTTTAATGACATACTCTCGCGTAAACAAAGCGCATATAAATGACGACTTTCGGAACGAAAAACGGATTAACGTCAAAGAACTTATACTGACTTCTATAGTCTTTGTTAACGTTCATTAGTGTTTAGTTTATTAGTCATGTCGTACACAAAATTCTAGTTTACACATCAAATGTTAGTTTGTGTAAAATAATGTATTTAACAATTGATTAAAGATCAACTGTAATAAACCATTGAAATTAAATATGAAAGTCAAGTTCGCCAAGATAAACTTTGATGTTGGCTTGACCTGAAATTTTAATTAGCTATAAAACCTGGAAGTTTAAAGGGTTATCGTGTCCTACAGACAATACTGTCCGATAGACAGAAAGACCAGTGGTTCTCCACCCCCCTTTAGGGGGTCTCGGGGGCCCTTATAAATCTTAAAATCATTTAAATTAAGTTATATAAAAAAAAATGTTAAGATGTACAAGATTAAAATAACATATTTCGGGTTTATTTTTATTAGAACAGAAGTACCACAGATAGGCTTGAAGTCAAAAAGGGTAAAAACCACTGCTCTACACCACCATCTTTTTCAAATATTATCATTAATGCTCTCTGTGAATGACAAGCAAGATTAAAATAACATATTTTGGGTTTATTTTTATTAGAACAGAAGTACCACAGATAGGCTTGAAGTCAAAAGGGTAAAAACCACTGCTCTACACCACCATCTTTTTCAAATATTATCATTAATGCTCTCTGTGAATGACAAATAAAGTTTACAACTTGTTTCATTTATGCTGCGACTGGTTCATATAAAAGATTTTGCAAATAATTACAATTTAGATGTGTCTGGGAGAAATCTGGGCATTAATGGGTTATGTTTGAGCTTTAAGTAACATAGGCAGGCCTACTCTTTAGTTCCAGCTTTATATGGGACACTCTGCAGGCAGAATGGTTTTGACTATACAAGAGGGAATTATGAGTATTAGATCTTTTGCTTCAGTTGTGAATATTGTAGTTTCTGTGTGAAATTCTCATACCTCTCTAACTCGTCATACAAAATCATGACTGTGGAAGGAATAAACATTACTGTTTGTTACATTAACCCTTCGGTTTCTTGAATGATTATTTGAAAAGGTAACCAGAAATATATTGCATTGTATAACCAGAAATGTATTCCACAATACTGCATATATTGATAAACCCCTTGTCCAAATACCTGCACGTGCGGTCTTTGCACTTGACCACTTGACTACTTATATGATGTATTTCCGTGTTCAAGTGAGCATGAAGACCACAAGTGTAGAACTTTTCATTACTTGATGGGACACACTTATAGTGTTGTAAAAATGCAAGTGTTTGCAGAGCTTTATTTTTCAATACTTTGCATTTTAAAATCAACTTCTAAATGTCTGTTCAGTAGTCCCTATAACAGATGGCACAACTTTGTGGCGCGTCTAATTAAGTGATAAAAAGCAGTTGCAAATGTTGTACAAAATAATTATCACCACTACTCATTTGCGCCAACAAAACGTACAACTC